TCTGGTCGGTGCGCGCGTGGGAACTATGATGGCAACCTTCACGACAGTATAGCTGGCGCGAACACGCTCGCAGCGTATATATATGATATATAGGCGCTAGAGTTATAATTACTATATCTATGTGCGTTTTATGTCGCCCGCTTATGTAGTCAGTCAAACGGTTTATTTATCGGCGCGTTCCTCTTGACAAACGCTTCGTTATGCCTGTAATATTTTCGTAAATCAACAGCTCGCCCGGGATGTCGAATGCGCTCTAACCGTCTTATCGCTCGACCTTCACTATCACAAGTCCTGCAACCTCCACTTGCCACGATCGCCTGCTACCCCCGCTGGTCCGCCCCCGCTGCCGCCCCACGCTGCGCCCCGCTGCCGCCTTTCGCTGTCGCCCCGCTGCTGCGCCCGGTGCTGCCCCGCTGCTACCATCGCTGCTTCCCCGCTGCTGCCCCCGCTGCCGCTCCCGCGCCGCCCCGTGCCGCCTTCGCTGCCGCCCCGCTGTTGCCCGCTGCTACAGTCGCTGCCCCGCGCGCTTGCCCGGTTGCTTTACCCCGGGATGCCGCCTGCTGCGCTCTGCTGCCGCGCCGCTGCTGCCCCGGTGCTACCCTCGCTGCCGCCCATGCTGCTGCCCTCTCTGGTACATCGCTGCCGCCCCGTGCGCCTTCGCTGCCTGCCCCCGCTGCTGCCCCGCTGCTACCATCGCTGGCCGCCGCCGCTGCTTCCACGGTGCTACCCCGCTGACCGCGGCCTGTGCCGCCGCCGCTGCTGCCCCGGTGCTACCCCGCTTGCGCCCTGCTGCTGCCTCTCTGCTACCTTCGCTGCTTTGCCCTTTTATAGAATGCGCTTAGATCACTCTACATTTTCCATTAAAAAATCAATTTAACGATCAACTTTCGTGTCGCTCGATAGTTTCGCATAAACCCGTGCTCTAATGATGCGCGGGTGACTCTATCCGCTGGGTGCCCCCTTCCCCCCTTCCTCATCCTCTCCTTCTCATTACCACCCGCCACCATAACACGCCCGAATCACGATTGTCAGTGCACGACCGTGGAAACGACTGCGGCAGAAAGTATGCTTATTAACCTCATCGCTTACGAGTTACGCGCACAGCAGCTGTGCACGCAAGTTGAGAGTCGATTAACTGTGCACCACGTACTGCCGTTCTGTAATTCGACTGTGCGCCGAGTGGTGCGTCAGGGCATTCAGGCGCCCACACCAGCAAACGCACCCCGGAGAGAGAGACAGGAGAGAAGGAGGGGATGGAGAGAGAGATGAGAGAGGAGAGAGGAGAGAAAAAGAGAGGAGAGAAGAAGGGGGAGGAAAGGGGAGAGAGAGAAGAGAGGAGAGGAGGGGGCAGAGAGAGGAGGAGAGAAGAGAACAGAGAGATAGAAGGAGGAGGAGGAGGAGCAGGAGACGAGGAGAGAGGGAGAGAGAGCGAGAGAGAGGAGAGAGGAGACGAGAGGAGGAGAGAGGAGAGAGGAGAGAGGAGAGAGGAGAGAGGAGAGAGGAGAGAGGAGAGAGGAGAGAGGAGAGAGAAGAGAGGAGAGGAGAAAAAGAGGAGAGAAGAGAGAGGAGAGAAGAGCGCGTACGTTTACGCTCAACACCTGGGCAGACGAAGGCCTATGACCAAAATACCTCCCTTTCCGCTCCCCGACGGCAGGCGCGAAGGATCCAGAGTGCGATTAGCACGGAAGAGGATGCGCGCGTATCATTGTGCGTTGCTCAATAGGAGAAGCCAACTCGAAGAGATGCCCGCAGGATGGCGCGGAAAGCGACATTTACACCGGTTTAAACATAACCGTCCTATATATTTGTTATGGTTATATATATTAATATGGTGATATTATGGCTTTAAACAAGTTTATCACGTGTTAAGATTGTAAACCCGGCTTTCTTCGCGGACGCGCTAATGCGTACACTCACGCACACGTAAATCAGCGGCGGTTGCTCCCACATCCCGAGACAACCCCCCCTCCCCCACCGAACCCGACCCGCGACGCGAGACCCCCTTGGTGGCCGATGTCGATATATTACCTCGAGCGTGGGTACAGCATGTAGCGATGAAACCATCGCTAGCGATCGCTGATTTCTCTCTCGGGACATCGCCACCCCCCGCCCCCTCCCCAAGAGACGACGCTCGCAGAATAGAAACTGCAACGGTTAATATGTGCGGCGGCCGTAAATAATTTAGCACGCGGCATGTAATTTAGAGAGTAATAATTCCCGATCGCTAACAATAAATCCACGCATCATATCTAGTTCATACATTGACTATCTGCGTCGAGGTCTCTCGCATGCAACAACAACGACGAGCAGCAACATTGCCGCTAATATAATATCTACAGCATTGCTATATTACTACGGACACACCGGCGACCTTTGTGGGTGTACGTGCTGCGCACCTGATCAAATACCGTAGGAGGGGGGTCTTAGACGCTACATTGTGCACACGCACGTGCGCTCATCTCGGTCGCTCTCGCCTTACGACTGACTCCAAGCTGGGCGCAGCGTGTGTGAGTAAATACATCCACGCGCATACGCACGGACGCACGCTGATATATATCACACACGCACACACGCACGCACGCAAGCTACAGTGGCGAGCTCTCGGGCGTGGCGTCGTCTCTCGCCTCGCTGACCGCACATCCGCCGGACGGCAGAGTCGCGCAGGAAGTGCCGCCTTTGTCCGACGCTAATCACGTGCGGGGCCGTCAACGAACAGCGGGAAGATTCACCGGAGATCCCCCCCTCCGCTCACACGATGAATAAATAAATGATCGTAAGACTCGCCCACGATCACGTCACAGCGTCGACACGACCGTCCGCCATGCTCCTAACACACGCACCGCACGCAACTACTCATGCGCGGCCAATTTAAAGGCCGGTAGATTACTTCTGAGTCGGTGCGCGCGTGGGCAACTATGATGGCAACCTTCACGACAGTATAAGCTGGCGCGAACACGCTCGCAGGTATATATATATATATAGGCGCATAGGTATATATATATATATATGTGCGTTTATGTCGCCCGCAATTATGTAGTCGTCAAACGTGTATTTATCGGCGCGTTCTCTTGACAAACGCTTCGTATGCTGTAATATCGTAAATCAACAGCTCGCCCCGGGATGTCGAATCGCTCTAACCCTCTATCGCTCGCCTTCACTATCACAATCCTTCACCTCCGCCGCCACGATCGCTGCTACCCCCGCTGCCGCCCTGCTGTCGCCCCCGCTGCCGCCCCCGCTGCCGCCTTCGCTGCCGCCCCCGCTGCTGCCCCCGCTGCTGCCCCCGCTGCTACCATCGCTGCCGCCCCCGCTGCTGCCCCGGTGCTACCCCCGCTGCCGCCCTGCTGCTGCCCTCTCTGCTACCATCGCTGCTGCCTCTTAGAATCGCTTAGTCACTCTACATTTTTCCATTAAAAAATACATTTAACATCAACTTCGTGTCGCTCGATAGTTTCGTAAACCCGTGCTCTAATGATGCGCGGAGATAGACTCTATCCAGCTGGGTGCCCCCTTCCCCCCTTCCTCATCCTCTCCGTTCTCTTACACCCGCCACGTAACACGCCGATCACGATGCAGTGCACGACCGTGGAACGACTGCGGCAGAAAGTATGCTTATTAACCTCATCGCTTACCGAGTTACGCACAGCAGCGTGCACGCAAGGGAAGTCGATTAACTGTGCACACGTACGCGTTCTGTAATTCGACGTGCGCGAGGGCGTGCGTCAGGGATTCAGGGCGCCCCACCACAGCCAACGCCACCACCGGCGAGAGAGACAGGAGAGAAGGAGGGGGAGGAGAGAGAGATGAGAGACGAGAG